TTGGGTCCTAGAAGGCATCTCAGCATTTTTGTTGTTGAAACAAAGAATTCCGTGTTACTTGCCGTGTTTTACATTTGAAAATGCAATGAGAGCTGTTGATGGAGAGAGGCTGACGGTCACAGCTGTGATAGGGTTGGGTTGGTGTCCTGCCCACAGATGCGGTTTTGGGACAGTCTGGCCCCAGCACAGTGTACAGTAGCCAGCTATCGGGTCCTGTCTGGTTGAGTCATGCTGAATATTGAAGCTCAAATTGTAGAGACGTAAATAAAACCCCATTTGTGCAGAATTCATTGCCCTCATGTATTAGTCTGTGCTTTTTACACCGTATCTGTGTTTTGCTGCAGCTACCTTTGGCTTATGCAGATAACAAGGCAAACACGGTGAGAGGGAGGGAATCAATGTGCAGAAAACGTTACCTAGAAACCATGTGGAATATATCAAATGTAAAAAACTTTATACAGCCTGAGATGATGTTACTTGGATGGTGATTTAAAAATGAAAAGTCCATGTGTTAATTGAAGCTATTGTGGTTGGGGCAAGGGATTTATTTTAATGTACAGTTTACTATAATCCTACACAGGAAAAGAATTATGGGCACAGAGGGGGGAAATATAAATAATTCAGCAGTCAACATGCATGGTATTAAATAAGAGTTGCCTTAGAGGTGCAAATGTAAGTTCCTAGAAACCACAGAAGTATGCACACAAGCGTCACTGAAACTTCCCTAGGGACCCATTCAAATACGTGTTAGCCAAGCTTCAGGAGCTATGAGACTCGCCCTAAAACATCCCAGGCTATACTTGTGAGGTAAGGTGAAATGTCAGTGAAGTCTGAAGTAGACCACAGTCAAGTTCTTACCCAAACCCCAGCAGAAGTTGGCAGTTGCAGCTGGGTCACGGAAGCACCAGCTGGCTATATTGAAGCACTACGGAGATGGTGCTGGAGTCAGAATGGGAACAGACCTCTTTGGCTGGATTGCTGGCTTTGTTCCTGCTTACACTACTACAAGGAACAAATCATCAGAACCTATTTGCAAAGCAATATTGAGACAGATAGCTCAATTTGATGAGCGGGGAAATAAGCTAGTCTGCACTCATTAGAAAACAGAGTTCTACAGTGATCTCTGCCTGCACTGCGGCACCTGTTTCTCGTTTGAACCAGTAAAAAGTATTTAAGTTTTTGTATGCAGAATAGGCTATTTCTGTCATATGTTCCATTTAGTAAAAGCTCGAGTAGTTGTATGAAGGTGCAATAAGAAAATATTGGAATGTGAAATACTAATAACTCCTTGGTCTGAGATTAAGAGAAATTGACACGCAGACCATGTGGAAAAGAGAAAGTGTTTTCAAACAGGTTCTCCCATCCTCTGTGTATGTACACGATTCCTAAACTGAGCCTTTTTTGCCACCATCTGATGT